GAAGCCTTCCCACTGCGTCGGGGCCTGCGTTTTATGACTTGACCCGCTTTCAAATCAAACTCTAGTAATACAAATTAAACACACCTTTCGATTTTTATACAACCAGATGTCTGGCCAACCGCAAGCAGAGTGAACAGGGTGAAACCGAGATTGATTTGCCAGAGTGAAGAAGAAAGTGTAACTTATGGGGCTAAATTAGGACTAGCCTGGCCAATTTTTACACAGAAAGCAACATCAAACAGAACAGGATTCAACTTTGGAGGAAGTTGCACTCGTTAAAGGATTTGCAGGGTGTGATAATCATGTGTCACAAGTGTTAATTAATGAACGCAGCTCTCTAGAAACCTGGTCCGAAAAGATAAAAACTGTAATCTATAATTATTGTTTTTTATTTTTATATTTCTGTTACGATTGGATTCGAAGTCGAAACCTTCAATGTTGCAGCTGACTCCATTATTGTGTAAGCATGGTTTAATGACTTTCGGCGCGCAGTTCAAAAGCTAAACTATGATGATCATCAAGTTAAGTTTAGGTAGCATTCATTTTGTTTATGAATTGGAGCTGTGATGTAAAGATGGTATCAAATTTATGTACACCAAAACTTTTTTTTGAATAATTCATACAATTATTGGTATTGAAATTAGAGATGATAATAAATTGGATCGAAATGAATTTTTATTCACTTCAAATTTAATTTAAATTTATATTTTTAAAATTAAATTTAATTTAATTTTATATGATAAAAATTTAGATTTAATCAGATTTATTTTTATATTAGTTTTATATTTAAATTTGATCTAATATGATATTATATAAAATCATAATTAATTTCGTCTAAGATTAATAAAATATATTTTTAAATATAAATATAAAATTAAATAAATAATAAAAATATTATATATATAATTTGAGTTGAGATGAAATGAATTTATTTAAAACTCGACTTTAATTTTTTTATTTAAAATTTAATTAAAAAAATCACCCTATAAAATTTGTTCGATAAAATTAGTTTATTGCGAACAATGCTTGGAGCCTGTGTTTGAGGAAGGTTATTATTGGAGCCTGTGCTTGAGGAACATTTTTATCGATAAAGGAGCAATGGATTTTGACCTGTTCAATCCATTGGGAATAAAAAATTTACATGAAATATTCGGCAAAAAAATGTAATTTACTTGAAATATGTAGACTTTTCTGTCCTCAAGGAAAATTTCAAAGGATAGAAGATCAGAATAGTTTGCATTTAACTTCTAAAAACTAAATTATTTTAATATTTATAATAATATTTTTAAATTATGATTAAATAAAGTTCAATTCTACTATTTTAAAGATGAATGATAAATTTAACTTATTAAATGATTTATATCTTTTAAGTAACAAAATTTTTTTTAAATTTTGTTAAATATATATATTTTTCAAATCAATTTAAATAAATTTATTTATGTCAATTTAAAAATTTATAAAAATTTATATTTTTATATCATTTCAATAAATTCAAATTCAAATAATAAAAAAAGAAACTTATGTATTTTTTTATTATTTAAACCAATATTCCTTTGATCTTTACTGATTTAAATGTTGATGTGATCCCAAACTTAAAATGGAACCTTCTGTCATATTGCAAGTATAAGTTGAATAAGCAATCTAACAATTTGCGTTAAGAGTTGACTTTTTAAAAATATTTTTATGTTATGCAAAAATTCAAAAGAAAAAATATATTAAAAATGAAGTTTCTAAGAAAGTGAGGGAGATGGAACGTAAAAAAAAAAAGTACAATCATCTGGAACCATTCAAATGTTTTTGGTTGGTCGAAGATTTTCCAACTCAACTTCGGGCTTTAGGTAGCGAAATGATCCACAATCAATCTAATTTTTAAAGCATGCTTCCTTTCTTGACAAAAAAAAATATTATACACAATCAATTAATTAAATATTAATAAAATAAAAAAGAATGAAATGTTTTTATGAGTTTAAAATAAAAGAAATTATTAAATGATGGAATTTTTTAATTTTGTAGATAGAATTAATATAATAATATATATTATTTATTGCATATTTATCTTATTAATTTTATTTGTAAAATAAAAAATTTTATTGATAATATATGAAATAATTTTTCTTAAAATGATTCATGGGCAAATTAATTATCTTTTATTATTCGTTCGATCCACACGTAGCATTAAAAATATTAATTATGTACCTAAAAAGAAAAAAATTAATATTAAATTGTGAAATAATGAATATATAATAAAAACATAAAACTAAAGTACATATACAAATAATAAATGAGAAAGGAAATTAATTGTTACATTCTTTCACATCAACCCTTTCTTAAAATTATAAAAAAAAAAAAAATTAAAGAATGGTTCTTGATGGTCGTCTACTAATTAAAAAATAAAGAATAATTAAAGATTAATAGATTATCAATGAAAGGGAAAAAAGAAAAGATTTATTAAAAATTTTAAAATTTAATTTAATTTATTTATTTAGTCATTTTTAAGAAAATGATTCAATAAATTTGAAATCTAAAATTCGGTAATTAATAATTATATGATTTATTAATAAAATATTAAATTATTAATTTTAATTATCAAAGTTTAAATTTTAAATTAAATTTAAATTATTCTTTTAATTTTTTGTCCTCCTCGAGGCATAATTTCTTTGGAAAAAAGTTTTGGTCCATTAAGATATAATCTAGTAGTCATTTTAGGTGATACGACATTACATTAACTTATTTGGAAAAAAATTTTGGTCCACAAGATATAATTTATTAATCTCTTTAGGTGAAATCCCATTAATCTTAACATCTAAGCATATTTTCTTCATTTTTATTTTAAATAACAAGAATCAAAGAAGTATCTAATCAACATGTGCCAAACTGGCCAAGGCCGACCAATTCCAAGGAACTCCTATCCCCAGACGTCTCTTGCTTTGCTTGGACTATTCATCTACTTTTGCCTTATTTTATACCGCCAAACCCTCGATTTTAAGACCAAAACCAGCGGCTGATGCTAACGTAACTTTCGCTTTCTTCTTTGTTTCTCAATTTCTTTAATATAGAATTGTATAATAATTTATTTTATGTTATATATTTATATAGATTCAAAGAATTATATATTAATATTGTGATTATTATACGTTAAATATATATAAAATATAAAAATATTATATTAAATTTATACCCGAAAAATATTTTTTTATTTTGGAAAAAATTATATACTTTTTACAAATATTTGAAATTATATTATTTTAATATTTTATATATTTTCTTATTTATCCTGATGCCATATTTAAAATTATCTAAACTAAATTTTGAAAAAAATTAGCTGTCATGAGTTCAAAGAAGGAGGCCGAACTTTACTTTCAAAATGCTGATGATGATTCTCCTCGACATTGGAAGTGCCTCGACAGACTTAGTCGTCGCTAATCTCATTTTGACTGTTTGGCCTATCAGGCTATCAGTCGAAATCGAAACCACAATTTTCCCCATGCGGATTCTCAAGCTTGACGCGTGAATAAAGAATATTTCGGTATAATAAATGTTCATCACCTCTTTGTTGCAATGATTAAGTTTTAATCTTTTAAATTCGATATATAAAATAAGATAATAATTATTTTATATTATATTTAATTTATATATACAAATAATTAATTATTTTTATATAAAATTATTTAATTTTTTTAAAATAAAAAATCATTTTTATTTAATAAAATTAAATTTATATATTTTATTATACATTTAAAAATTATATTAATAATTTAAATTATATAAATTTTAAAAAATAAATAAATTATACTATTATAATATTTATATATATCAAATATAAGATAATATAATATTATTTAATTACTAATAAGCAGTTGATTTAATCGATTAAAACTCGTTTTTCTCGATGAAAATATATTTTAAATACACGATCTGTAATCATCTGTCTTAATTGTTATGTACGATACATATTATATGATACATATTACCTTGAGGATTAAACAATTTATTTACTCTTGAATTTTGTTTCTTACAAAAAAATATTATTATTTAATTTAATATTAATCATAATATAATATTATTTTATTTTATTATAATTTTATATATTAAACATGTGTTATATGTTTATATTGATATACATTTTAACTAGATATTTTTCCAGGGTCAAAGGTTGGAAACAAAAACAAATACAATTTTTTGAAATATAAATAAAATATATATTTTAAGTAATAAAATGCATAATTTTACTTTCATATAAATTGTTAATTAATTATGTTATAATTGACGTTACGTTTTAATTATTTATTTTTATTTTAAATCAATTATGATTTTATTTTTAACTTTTTAGTTTATATCAATTTTTTAAAATTAAAAATAAATGGTATACAGTAAAATAATAAATGATTTTAAAAAATGTGTAAAATTTTAAAATGTAAGTTATTTATTTTATTTCAAAAAATTCAAATTCATTTTTTAGCAGAAAAGCACATATACTTGTTATGTATTTTTTCACAAAATTAATATTTTTTTCAAAAAATATTAAAATGTTATTTTCACTTGAAATTTTTAATCTTAACGTTAACTTTATATTGATTGTTAATTTCTTTTTTATTGTGTTCATTTTAATAATACTTTTTTTTTTATTTTCTTACACGTGTTAGATTGGAATTGGAATTGCTTTGAAGCTTTGGTTTCCTTGTTGTGAAGGCAACTCTGCGTTCGCCAACGAATCCTTTGCTTCATAAATCATCATGCGACTTTGACCTGTCTGATCGTAACAATAAGTTTGCTCAACAAAAAATAAGAGGGACGGTGGGCCTTTAATACGATGATACAATATGATATAAAAATAAAATATAAAATTAATATAATTTAAAATTATAATTATAATTATAATAATAATTATATAAAATTAATAAATTAAAAAATTATATTTTTTATTTTTTACCAACATAAATAATTTTTATTTAAAATATGGATATAAATGCATAAATTTTAATATTTTACGCATTTACACATCTGTCAAATGTCAATCAGTTGGACAACGCGGTCTGTTCCTAAACATATCTGTGTTCCCATACCAAAGAAAAGGAAAACGAAAGCAAAATAATTGTACCTCAAAATCATCAAAATTATCATTACAAATCCAAAATCAATCTTCATCCAAATTCTTCAACCTCCAAGTTTTTCCAAGAATTTATTAGTTCCTCTCAGTCCAGATTCACCTCAGAAAATTTTCCATTTCATGGTCTAGTTTCTAAATTTTCAAGTTCCAAGTTTCGAAACCCATGACAAAACCCAAGAATTTTTTTCGAAGTATAATGAAACCTTTTAAGTTCAACTCAGGCAAAGGTGAAATTAAAAACTCTGTTTTTGTATGAAAAAAAAAGTTTGATGCTTGTTTGCATGTTTGATGATCTCTGTGTTCTTGGGTATCTGATCAGAGGGCCAGAATGAAGACTTGGAGAAAATAGCTCAACAAGAGCAAAAGCACTTCCCTTTCGCAACTTTGGTGGTTGCTACCAAAGATTTCCACCCTAGTCACAAGCTTGGTGAAGGGGGTTTTGGACCTGTCTACAGGGTAAGATCCCACTGCTGAAACTCTTGTTTGGTTGCCTAGAAAATAAAGGGAAACTTTGCTGAACTTGATTTGTTTTTTGATTCATTGAATAGTTATTTTGTTTGCATTAAGAATATAAGTGGTATGATACAATGGATTGTTATGGTCTTTTAGATACTGTTAAAGGAGAAATTTTCTACCTTTCTAGGAATTCAAAGTTCCAACTTTTGCATATGAAAAACATAAAAAACAGAAAAATAGCAAATAATGAAAATGCCTTGTCCTAAAATGTAAAAAGTACTTGAGAATCCCATTTTGACCATTAGCTTTAATAAAGAGGGAACCATTTGTCCCAAATCTCTATAACTCAAGTCAGTCAAACCATTGAGCTGTTTTCCCCCTTTGGGATTAATCTCATCTCAACTATTAAAAAGGAGGCCAAGCATAGAAAATTTTAATTGAAATTGCGCAAGAAGCTAGAATAGCAGTTGGTTCATTAAACCTGTCCTACTTTTCCAGTTATCAGAAATTTCCCTAAGTTTACAATCATTTTACACCCAAGTAGTTTTCAGGTTTCAAAATTTTGATTTCAAAAAATCAAACTAAACAGTGAGGAATTTGTCTAACTTGATGGCTGCTCCTTCATTTATAGGGGAAGTTGGATGATGGAAGGGAAATTGCAGTGAAGAAGCTATCTCATAGCTCAAATCAGGGGAAAAAGGAGTTCGAGAATGAGGCTAAGTTGCTAGCACGTGTGCAGCACCGCAATGTTGTGAATCTTTTGGGTTACTGTGCACATGGCGTGGAAAAGCTTTTGGTGTACGAGTATGTCACTAATGAGAGTCTAGACAAGCTTCTCTTCAGTAAGTTTCCATAATATATTTGCTGTCTACTGCTTTTATTTTTCTACCATTTACTCATCCATGCTTCATAACAGATTTGAGTAATCAGGATATAGTATAATTGAGTAATTCCAATAATTTTGGAAGGTTTAGCTTTTTGTCTTAGAAAATATATGGTTTGTTTCTCTTTTGTTCCGTTTTTTGTATTTGGTGTTTCTTTTCTTCATTTTCTTCTCTGTATGAGTGTGTTGTTATTGTGTCCAGTTTTTAGAACTCTAAAAGAAACATCACTTGGCCTAGACAAGTCACCAAGTGGAGATTGAAGGTGATTGGTGGGCATGCTTATAAGTAATTCATCAAAGAAAGATGAGTTGGCAGATATTGATACAACAAATATATCTAAGTGTCAGGACACTCGACCTTGCAAATTAAAATGTATGTGTTTGAAGGGTAAGGATCCTCTTCACTACTTAAAAAGTAGTGGAGATGTCCACTATTTCATCCTGGGATGATAAATGCAAATTGAAGTTAATCTATGGCTGAAATTTTAGTATTCTTAAATTAAGTAGGAAGATAAATGAAAATTAATTAAAAATTGATTTGGACTAATATTAATCCTAGATTTATTTCAATGTGCATTAATCATCCAAGGATGAAGTAGTGGATATCTCCACTGGACGATCCTTTCCTGTATTTGAAACCTAGTAGAATATGAATGAAAAGAAACAATCTATTATACAATTAAGATGGCTAAATTTTTCATTTGTAATGTACCAAAAGAAAATTCTGATATCAACTTTACAAAATTGCAATACTTTATCCAAAATCATGCACAGAAAAGGGTAGCAAAGTTAGTTTCTGAGTTAGACATTCTGAATGCTGTTGCAATTATGGTCTTTGTTACAAAGTTAAAGCTAGGTTGAGCTATAGTTTGTTTTTTGATTTCTTTTTCTTTCTTTTTCCCTCACAATTTGTAGAAGTCCTAAGACGAGCTGCTTGCATTGGAACCTAAAACGGATTAATATATGTAAACATTTGTTTCAAACATCCTTCAAAAGAAGATAATGCAGTTCAGGCTAGAGTAAAAACTACAAATGCTCATTTCAAACAACTTTAAAACAATATGGATTGAGCAATAGAGACAAGTCAGAGCCTTTGTTCTTTAAAGAGAAATGGAAGGAGATTTTGGAATAAGAAGGGAAATGAAAACATATGTTTCCCTAATCTTGATGCATTTATATTTTGAAAATTGTTAAAATTTTAGTCTGAAAGGGTGTTAGATTATGAGAAATTAGCAATTAGATTGAGTTGGAAGGCTTTGACTCGTGACTGATCTGTCCCACCACCAATTGGTGGAGGTCAAGACTAATGTTGCAATGAATAGACAACAGTTAATTTTATTTTTCACTTTTGAGTTTTGACTAAATTTTTTCTGTTTGTTATAGAATGATTGTGTAAAATGTATTTGGAAGACACTTTACACCAGCATTTTTTTGACTATTTGTTTCCTTTTTGGTGTATATGATCTTTGGCTACAAATTGGAGGTAGCCCTCTCCCATGCCATTAACCCCACTACTGGAATGGCAGTAGTATGTCCTGAATGGCATCTAGTATGTCCTGGATTGTAACTGTTGAGTCCACTGAGCTCATTGTGAATCAAATGAGTTCTAAAGCAGATGATGAACCATCATGAGGGGCATGCAAGTGTACTTCTATATGATCTTAGATATTGTGATTCAATGAAAGTTCTGCTAGACTCAATTTTCTGAAACTTAATTACAAGATTGTGTGCTTGAAAGTAATCATCAATGCTAAAATTATTTATCATCAACTAGTCAAAATATCTGCTTAATGAAAAACTCTGGTTGTATGCATGATGAAAAGATAATGAGAATGAATGGTAGACTGACTTGTAGGAGGTTCAGTATGGTTATTTGAAACAGACCTAGATGGATTCCATCAAGTACTAAACCTTGAGATGATGCTTTAATATTCCCAACCCTCTTTTTCAGCACATTTGCTTGATCTATTCTTGTCTATTTATTTTATATGTACACGTCTGCTGTATCTCTAGCCTCAAAATATAAATCTTGGTATTAAGTTGTTGGTTTCTAACCTCCAGACCTTGTGCAAATATGGTGGATAAATGCTCATCATGATTTATAGAAGTTTTCATCCTATTCTAACATGTAAAATGGGTTTTCTAATTTTCCTTAGAAGCTGCCTTTTCGCAAGACTTGACCAAATTTTATAGTATGAACTTGAAATGTATGCTCCAAGCAAAACAATCTGTTTAGCACAAACTTGGCGGTTCTGAGTGAAACTGATAACCAGTTTTTAAACCATTAATCTGAAAACTAAGTTGATCATAAAATTAAGAACACAAGCAAATAACATGATAGATATTGCACTGATTTTATTTATTTATTTATGGGTGTGAATAGAATTAATCATTGTGCTTTTATAGTCATAGTAATCATGATGGTGATGGTCTTTTTTGTAGAATCAAATAGAAAAGAGGAGCTTGACTGGAAGCAAAGGTATGAAATAATTACAGGCATTGCAAGAGGTTTGCTTTACCTTCACGAAGACGCACACAATCGCATCATTCACCGGGATATCAAGGCAAGTAATATTTTACTTGATGATAAATGGGTCCCTAAAATTGCTGATTTTGGCATGGCTCGCCTTTTCCCCGAGGATGAAACACATGTCAACACCAGGGTAGCTGGTACCAAGTATGTTGTCTAGCATGCATCCTCTTAATTGATAATATAATGAGGTCTACATGCTTGGGACCTTCTGGTAATTTTTCATAATGCCTATACCTTAGTCCTAAGGTGTTGTTTTAACGAAGTTCTTTATTATTTGGTAACAGTGGATACATGGCACCGGAGTACGTCATGCATGGACATCTATCAGTGAAGGCAGATGTGTTCAGCTTTGGGGTTTTGGTTCTGGAGCTGATAAGTGGCCAGAGAAACTCATCCTTCAATTTAGACGTGGATGCTCAAAATCTACTTGATTGGGTAAGAACAAGATTAATGATCTAATCCTTTGTTGCTCCAACTCTTCATTTTCTTTTAAATATCCGTGTCCAACACATTTTCAAAGGGCACGGGAATGGAGGTTCGACCCTCTAAAAATAATTGGATCAAACTTGAAAAAAATGAACTTACCCATGTTGGAAACATACCCATGTCCGACACTTACCCCCAAGGACAAAGTAACATATATCTAATCATTCATTTAATTGAGATAACTTTTTGTGCTTAATGGCATTTGGGGTTCTTGGAAGTTTGGATCTTGTAAGACCTCATGAGTCGTGTGGGCTCGAGTCTTTTAGTGCTCAATGTCATGCTGTACTTTTCGCACATTTGCTGTCCTGTGGACTTTTTCCTATAAGAAGATCAACATCAGGGAGACTTTTGGTGATTTCCGAGAGGAAATCGCATCTTGCCTTCTTTCACCTTTACATCATTTTGAGTTTGTTCAAGTTAGGAATATAAGGACCCCACCACATGTGTGAGGGGGACTTGGTCAAAAATACACTGAGCCAAGAAATTCCAATCCTGGCATGCATTGGAAAGTATGAATCATCGGTGCATCATGTTCACGTCAAAAAACATAAAGAAAAGTTATAATGGCGAAAATTATTCAAACATTTGACTTTATGAGCAATAAAAAGTCAAGGTTCGAAAGTGAGGCTTAGTAATTGGCACTTGCTGGTTGTTGATGTTGCAGGCATATAAGCTTTACAAAAAAAGCAAGGGCTTGGAGATCATGGACCCTGTCTTAGCCCCATCAGCACGCCCCGAGCAAGTAGCTATGTGCATCCAATTAGGTTTACTATGCACGCAAGGTGATCCCAGTCTTCGACCCGACATGCACCGGGTAGTTATCGTGCTGTCAAAGAAACCTAGCAATCTAGAAGAGCCAACAAGACCTGGAATTCCAGGTTCTAGATACAGAAGATCCCACAGGCCTCCTGGATTCTCATCAACTGCCGGAACTTCCGGTGATTCAGATACCCGTGCTTCTGAATCAACCTTTAATACTAATATCGCTTCTGCTTCTGCTTCCACATCGACTCTTGCAAGCTCCTTGAAATATGACCCGCATGGGAAGCGACCGATGCAGAGTTAAGCTTGTTGGCTATTCTTTTTTTGTATTATAAATGCGTTAAAATTTTTGTTCATTAGTATGTAAATGTTAATGGGGGATTAGTTAGCGAAAGCAAAGCTGTCGAGTTGAGCTATGATTCTTTTAAAGCTGCAGAAGGAGCTATGATTCTCGGTGGAATTTCGTGTTAACGAGGAGCCAGGATTATGTAAAAAGGGCAGAGATCGTTAGAGCATGTGGTTTGTGTGTTTATTAGTCGATGGAGCCAAAGATTGTACACGCCTTCGAGGCGTTGACCTATGATGTGGAGGATCACCATTTTACAAAGCATTTGATGCAACAGAAGGCAAATACCCAATTCTTATTCTCCTCACCTGGAAAATAATTGCCCAAAAGGCTATAATTCAATCCTAAGCCTGTAGACGAAGAACCAGGGAGTTTAATTTCAATTTCAAGCTAACAACAAATCCCTCAAAAAAAATAAAAAAAGAAGAGATTAAGTCCATAAATAAAGAATCCATCTAAAATTGTCGCTTACCACTTGCCTTAAATTGAAGCAAAAAATGTGTAATCTTTGAATTTTATAAGAAAAAATAATAAAAAATAAAAAAAAATGACATGACCTGAGTATCCTAGATAAATAAAAAAAAATTACCTTTATAAAGAAATCAAAAATTTAGAATCCTCTTCCATAAGAAAAACCTGGTAAAACCAATGCCAAACTAACGAATGACGGAAGAGGAAAGCGAAAGAGAAAACAAAGTAAACAAAAAACAGATCTGAAAACTTATCTCGAATCTTTGCAGGTAGGCTTTATTCTCTTATCTTAAATGATAGATACGAAAATTTATGTATTTATATTATATAAAATATTTAAATTCATATATTTATATAAAAATTATATATTATAATTTATATTGATATAAAAATATAAAATATTAATTTAATTAAATTTATATATAATAATTATTAAAATTTTTAATGTATTATTTTGTTTTTTATTTTTATATTATATTCATATTATATTTTAAATTATCAACTTATTAAACCGTAAATTTTTTTTAAAAGAAAAATCCAAGCAACAGGAAAGGGGACTTGGGAGTTGGGGAAATATCCTGATCTGATGTCTCCAATCCACAAGAACAAAAATCCAATCCAAGTCTCTGATTTGAAATAGCCTTTGATATCCGGACACTTGAAGAGAGTCAGACAGATCCGGGCAGGCTATGTTGTTGACACCATTAATCCTACATTCCTGTCTCGAAGTTCAACTCCTATCTGACCACCCATTTGTTTTCAACTCCTCCTCCAAAGGTTTCACCCAGCTCCCCACTACCACTCTATCGTCGCCCTCCTCCTTCACTCGGGCCCCACCATCCGCACTTGGATGCCCGATCTGCCTCCTACCGAAATATTCAGCCCCTCCTGGTACGATTACGTGGCCTTTTCTCATTTGTCTCAATAAATCTAATTGATTAAAAAAATTAAATTATTATTTGAAAAAAGTTTTGTATATTTAATTTATTTTTTATTAATTTTAACAGAAAATAATATATTAATTATACGTATTTTTAAATTTAATCTTAACTAATATGCCAATTAAAAAAGCAAGAACTTTATAAATCCATAATCCAGAAAACTTCCAAACCTAGTTCAGGTCCCTCCCACGTCACCGATCCGCGTAAAACCATATTAATAAACCACAACCGTTGGATGTAAGCCGAAAGTTAGCCATCCCCAGCCGTTGGATCATAGCCCCTATCCTCCTTCCTCTCCTCTTTCTTTAATTTGATCCCAGAGCCTTCCCCTTTTAAATCCAATCCTTCTCCTCGCACTCTCTCTTCACATCAACAAGAGCAGCATTTTCCACTCCCTCTTTTTCTTTCCTTTTCCCTCGGACATAAGAAAAGAAAAAACAGCTTCAAATTGTAATGGCGACTGAAGAAACTATTGACACTCAAGGCCCTCCCCCTTCTCAACAAGCTTCTCTTCCAGACTACCCTCAGGTACTTGAATTTTGTACCAACGCTTCCTTCGGTTTTTTTTTTTTTTGGATATTTCATGTGAACTTAATTGTGTTTTGATTTCCCTGTGTAGTTGATTTTGGAAGCTATAGAGGCATTGAACGAGAAAGCAGGGTCGAATAAGTCGGCAATCTCGAAGCACATCGAGTCGACTCACTCAGATCTTCCAGCGGCTCACTCGACTCTTCTTTCTCACCACCTCAACAAGATGAAACAAAGCGGCCAAATTGTTATGTTGAAGAATAATTACTTGAAACCCGACCCCAATGCTCCACCCAAGCGTGGACGTGGACGTCCACCTAAGCCCAAGGTTCCTATTCCACCAGGCACCGTCGTCTCCCCACCTAGGCCTCGTGGTCGGCCGCCTAAACCCAAAGATCCATTTGCTCCCCCTAAGCCTAAATCTACCCCCGGCTCTGGAAGGCCACGTGGACGCCCCCCCAAGAAGGCTAAGACTGCAACCGCAGCTGTTCCTCCTCCTCCTGGCGTTAAGCGAGGTCGCGGTCGACCGCCGAAAGCGTAACCGTCGGTAGCTTTTTCAAGTAGCGAAGCTTAAAGAAAGAGAAAAGAACAACTTAGCTAGTTTTTTTTTTTTTTAGGTGTGGTTTAGTCCTCTACTAATTGATGTTTTATCTTTTTAATTTTAATTATTTTTGGGTGGTTTGAAATTGATGTGGGAAAAGTGTTGTAATGCTTTTAGGGAGGGATTTAGATTTTAGAGTGACTCTTTGTGACTTGCATGTAAATTTCCGGTTATGTAGTCTTTTGAGCCATATGGCCTCTTTCTCTTTATGACTTTCCCATCATTTTAATAGATTAAGCTTTTTTTTTTTATTTTACGATTTTTTTAGAGCATGCTTCAAATTAGAGGTGTAAATAAATAAAATATAAATAAGTTCGTTAAATTTATGAATTGTTCTTTTAATCGATAAATTTTTAATCAAATTTAATAAATAAATAAAAATTAAATATGTTTATATTTATTTATGCATATTTTGAATATAAGTTAAGAACATTATAAATACATAAAAATTAAATATGTTTATGAATTATTCAATGAGCCACGTATTCAATTATATCTTAACTTGAAATTTAAAGAAAAAAAGGAATATTTTTTGATTTTTTATTCGGTTAATTAGTTTTGTTTTATAAAAGGTTAATTGATTCTTTCGCACATGGGATGCAGAGCCAAAGGCAAAGACAACGGAAATGTTGTATGGAAAAATTTTTAAAATTTTGAAAATAATTTGAGCGGTTTAGGCGGGGGATTTTCTTTTAATATATACTTTTAAAAAAAGGTCGGACTATAGTAGTATTTGGACACTATTTTTGGTGCGTGGTCCATGCCTGAATTTTGTTTCCAAATTTGCGCTAGCTCCAGTAAGCTGACAGAAGTTCGTGAGTTTGGACTTCTCTCTTTTTTTTTGCTTATTTTGTACGACTCCAGTCAATTTTGCAAAACAATTTCTGATTTTAAAATTCATGTTTGAATAAATACAATGACATAATTTATAATTAAATTAATTGTTAAAAATAAATATTTAATTAACGATTGTTTATAAATACTGATAATTATTAAAATATTATTTTTTAAAAATTTATATTTAATACATTGTTCCCAAAAAATAAAAAATATTATATATATAGGATGAGAAAAAATTGAAAGTCGATTAAATCCTAATGCTCAATTTGGTTTGAATTAAATTTTTTTATTTAATTCAGATAAAATTTAAATATAAATATATATATTAAATTTGAATCAAAATGTAAAAAATTCAAATAAAATAAATTGAATCAAATTATATATTTTTATTAATTTTTATAAATTTAAAATTTAATAAATAAAATAAATTTTTTTAATATATAAAATTTATTAAAATAATATACAAAATAAAAAAATTAAATTTCAAAACCAATGAATTGAATTGAATTAAATTGATAAAATTATATTCAAATTAAATTAATTTTAAAAAAAATCAATTCGAATTCGAATCTAATTTTTAAAATTTATAATATTTTATATTATTTAAAAAAATAAATTGAATCCGATCTAATATAAATCATTATCACTCTTATATATAATTAATTAATTATATATATTTCTTTAGTGTTACCACTTACCACCCAATACTTAGCTAGCATTTCTCGATCATTAAATATTGTGTAGAGCACTAAATTTTTACTATTTTAACATTTTCTATATTAGTGCTAAATAACCAACTTCCTTAATTAATTATAAAACTTTCTCACATGATTGCACCCATCACAACGAATCTCCCAATCTTTTTTTTTTCTTTCTTATATAGCTAATGCAATAATAACATATAAAATAAAAGAGTGGGTGAATATAAATTGAATTGTGGACCAACAAAATGAAATGGCTTGTTGACTGGTTATGCATTGCGTGCATACTTCCTTCATCTCATTTTATTTATTTTTATTTAAATTTAACAGAGATTAAAAAAAATGACTTCTTCTATTTCTCTATTTTACTTTATAATTATTTTATTTTTCAAAAATAATTATTTAATGGATCAAAAAGATTTTGGCTTAGTAACAAAGAATATATCTTAGAACCTTGAAATTTTAATTTCAACTCCTATTGTATATGGATTTAATTTAATTTTGTATTAAAATTTGTTTATTTAATTTTTAATTTGTTGATTAATTTATTTATTTGATTATGAGTAATCTAGATTATAATTGTGATTTCTCTTATAATTAAAAAAAAATTCCTTCTGTTCCAATTAAATTGTCACATATTAATTTTTTTTGGCTAGTATTTTTAAACTTTGATATTTTTTATTTTATATTTATTATTTATAAAAATATAAAAAAAATATTTTAAAAACTTTGAATCAACTAGTTTTTAAAATATATGTTTTATCAAATTTAATTAATTAAAATATTTAAAATAATAAGGTTAAAGTTAAATAAATTTTAAAAAAATAACAACGATAACTTAATCGGGACAAAGGAAGTAATGTTAAGTAGAACCGTCGTTTTTGGAAAGCGAAGGACTCCTCTAATATGCCCTATCAAATCGCACCCTCCAGACCCCCTTTCTCTCCGTTCCCGCTCAATTCATTTTACATACTCTTAAAAAAAAAAGGAAAAAGAAAAAACAAAACAAAAGAACAGGAGAACTATATATATATATAAAAACACTGGTCACTTCCTCCTTTTGCCAGCTTCATATTCTCAATGGTAACGCATTTTGCTTTGTTCTCTCCAACTAGTGAGCTCCCTCTCGTATTGATTGATATGAGTTGTGTTTGGCGAAGAAAGAAATGAAAATGGTATTCAATGTGTCGAAAGTGCCAACGACGCCGTTCGACAGCCAAAAGCCTGGAACTTCTGGCCTCCGTAAGAAGGTTTTTTGCTTCTTAATCTTTCTTCATTTCGTTTTGTTTGATCGATATCGGTACCTTGATTTCTCGTCTTAGATCACTCTGATCTAACAATTTGATCCATTTGATTGATGTATGCAAGTGCTCCTCATTGAATCAGATCTAGTTGAATAACATGAGCTTCATTTTCATAGATTAAGCTGTAATTCTATACTATGTAGCGGAAAAAGACCGGAATCTTATCATTTTCGATGCTAATTTATTTGCTATTTTAAATTCTAACTTAATTATGATTTATTTTCCTTTTCTTTTCTATTTCGGATCTGAATCAAGTTTCTCTATTATTTAATTTAAATTTTTTTTTTAATTTGGAAATTTTTTTTGCGGTTTTAATAGTATCTATTTGTAATTTTAATACCTAAATGAAATATAATTTCCTATGGTTTATTTTGTAGTTGTGTTATATTTCTATGTTTGAACGATTCTAAAATTGTCTATGTAATGGATGCCTTTTCACCGATACAAATTTATGTTTTAATACTCTGGAACTGTTGATAAAAAATAATATTACTTAATAGTTCTCAAGGTCTTATATTGTTTGACCAGAAGCATATTCGGTCTACTTATTGTGAGCATTAGAGGTCTCCTAAATAGTTGTCTTCTTTGTTGAAGTCTGTTTATTGGAGGAATTCTACTCCATTTTCTTTACATAAAATTATTTCAATGTTTAGGCTATATGCACCTTGAGATGACATATGGAATGTAAACAATTTTCTGTATTTTTCTTACAGCATTCCTCTGCATAATGCTTTACTTTTTTGTTTAATTGAATGCTATGGTGTGGATCTTTCCATGTAAAAGTTAAGTTTTTATCCAACCTCATTATTTGCAAAATTTCGTTCAGTCAACATTCAATTCCCTTACACCAGAGAAAGTTAAATGTAGGGGTTTTCGTATATGCTATGGCTTTTTGTATGCAAAATCGACTTGGTCTTATTTATTTTTTATCTTTAGAGGCATAATGTGACTCTTTAAATATGCTCTTTGACGCTCGGAATTTGAGGATTGATTTAATGTACATCCATTGATGTGAGGTTTGCATAGAATATATGCTTTGCAATACTAGGGATACTCTTATGAAAAGGATGTATGTGCACTAAATGTACTAGGGATATATGAATATTCTTTGGGCGGTTCAACAAAATCTTCTAGTTTTATCTTGAAAGATATTTAGCTCATATCATCCAGAGAACTTTTCTTCTGGTCATATTATTTGCTTGATTTTGTTTTGGTCTGTTTATCTCCAAAGTAGGATTGGATTTTGCACCTCTGGCATTTACTAGTTCTTTGCCCTGTGAGAATCTTTGTTCTGAAGAGCCAGTGCAAGGAGCTTTATTAATTAAAGTAAAATCATTGTACTTTATCATTATTTTTACTTCAATTTTTGCAATCACAGTCTGTATCAATATATCCTTATATTGAACAGGAGTCCTTGGGACACGGGGGATCTTTAAAATTTTTAGCCCTTTTTTGTTTTTTTTGGGTAATTTTCTTAGGCCTTTTTGGACATTTGACTTTTTCTTTTTGAAGAAAATTTAGTAAAGTGAAAGAGGAAGGAGGGAGGGAGGGGGCTGTCAGCGGCATCAAAACAGATCCTGGACTCCACTGACACCTAGGTCAAGGTGATCAAAGGTGCAAAGTGCTAAAGATGCTGGGACCCTTGTATCATCTAAGGAAAAAGGCATTAGTTTTTTGGAATATTATATATATATCTATATATCTATATATATATATATATGTATATATAATCTGACTGCATTGCATTGCCAAATATATTGAAAATACCAAGCGATAACTAAAACTATTCTCAACAATAGGTTGCCGAATATAGCTATAAGTTTCCTTCCCTTCATCTCAAACAATAGGTTATGAACGAAGTCACTTTCTTATTCTTGAAAGGACACATGTATTGCACTTTTTTCTCAATTGAAAATATGTTTTTTTTTTAATTATTTTTTATAGTAAAAAATCAAAGATAACTTACCTTTGTGCACCTTGATAAAGCTGCCTCACTTTCTCGGATGCAAGGCTTTTGCCAGATTTCCCCTTCACCTCGGACCTAGGCATGCCCCTTGACTACATTGGTTTAGGTGGCTCTACCATGCTCATAGTAGAGTTATACCAACCTTGAAACTGATAGATGCATACTTCTTGTTTGTGAATAATTTTGTGTATGTACAAGAGGATAGCACTATGGCTCAGATTTGAGATCTTTATCCTAACCCGAGTTAACAACACCAAGAGTATTGCTATTTTTACCTTTGTATATTGCCATTTAATTTAATTTCGAGCATCAGAGGTCCCATCCAATGCTCTGACAACAGGCAGTTCTAATTTGTTGGATAATGACTGTAGAGCATATTCATCTCAACTTCTTTAGTTTTTCACCAGCTCTTTTGGTAGTTTATTACTTTATTTTGGAAGAAATCCATTCCTTATCTTGAAAGAGCAATTTTGAATCATCTAAAAGAAAAAAAAGA